CATAATTTTTGGTATAGTAGTTGTGACTTATTCACACTCTATACATTTGGCTTCCGCAACAAGGACAACTTGGGAAGTTCCTTTAGGAATGGAATTTACGACCACAGCAGCAGCTAGGCTACTTCCATCTACCACCTTCACTTTCAGCTGAGGATTTCTCCTTATGTAAAGTTCACCATTGTTATTCAGCTTCTCTTCCTGGAAAAGTTAAATTTGTATAAAACCAGAAGTATCAGCTGTTCATTTTGGTTCAGCCTACAGCCCTTGATATCGAGAGAGAGGTTAATTTTCTTTAAATCTTTTTCTCCATAATAACAATTTTGTGATAGCTTACATAAATTTTGTGATATCATTAGATTTTTTAGACATATACTTTGACTTGCCTGATTTAAGAGTCCAAGGCTCAAAACTTGTATGCCTTTCTGATCTGCTTCAATGATTGCTTCCTCCATCAAATTGTTAATAGTCTCTCTTCGCGATTTCATTAAGTACTGCAACACAATCAAGAATCATGCCAAATAATCTCTGTAACAACGGATCCAAAATATGGAACAATCTTGAATAATTTTTCATTACTTACTTGTATGCGACACTTTGGGATAGCCAAGTTTGTAATTTGAGATTCTTGAATAAATTTCTCTCGACAACAAATGTGTGACCTTAAATCCAAGACACATGATGGGCTCAGTAACAATGGAGGAGTGGTGATGCGAATGATAACGAGAGTAGAGAAAATGGTGGTGCAAAGCTCTGTGAAGCCAATAATAGAGAAACTCGACAGGACCAATATGAAGCAAAGCAATAATAATGATGCCATCAGTTCTCCACAAACGCGGATGATGAGCTTGTTCCAACATCAGATATGTGATATAATATAACAGCCCATTAAGTATGATCTGATCATCCCTACAACACGCCAACCTTAATCAATTGTGCCATGTATAATTTAATTTATTAGATTCTTTTTAATTAAAAGTTCAAGAACCTAATTTTATTGGTCGAAATTTGGCAACTCGGTAACTGCAGATAAGTCATGCCAAGGATAGGGTCTACCACGACATTATAACGAAGGGGTCGCCCTCGTAAGGATTGTTGCCGAGGACGAGTAACTGGAGTTGCAATTGTAACGGTGTGACTGGCTTAGAAAAGGACACCACGAATATTCCCTTGGATATTCCTTATATTGTACTTTTTAGAGTTTCTTGGATACGTCCCTTATCAATAGTAAGAGATAGAGAACAAAAAGGATCTGGACTTTCCGATAAAGACACATGTAAAGGTTGACTGAGAAAGAAGATACAAAAGTTGTCTTGTTCACTCACTATATTATTTGGGCACATGTTGTTAAACCTTTGCTCACAAGATCCAAAGATTTCATATCCATATTCACTTCTCACCTTTTCACGTCACTGATAGAAGAAAGGAACATCTCAATCATACAATAATTGGGTGGTAGATCCTTTCTTATTACACTTATTATCATTATCTACATTTATTGCATGTTCATGTTATCATATGCATTGCTAATCATTGATTATTAAATCTGTTATTTAATGCTCTTGAACAATGTTCATCTCACGAATATCCTGTTATAATTGATCTAGAGTTTATTAAGTTTAACTAAGATTCGCCCTTTAATTTATTATTAATTGGCTTAACTAAAAGGTTTAATACTTTTTTAGTCAAACACTAATAAAGTCAAACATCTTTATGACAATCACACAAACCGTATATGTCTTTGTTAAAAGTACAAATATTTGAACTTTGAAGTATGCTGGTCCTTTTTTCAAGGTATTTATTATATTAAAAGTTGGATTAAAATGTGGGATGTGTTGATGTGACGATTTAAACCAGTAACAATAATTTTAATTTGGTGCATCGACAAGGTTGGATTTCCGGCATTATGACTTTTTTGTGACTTATTATGAAATTTACCTTCTCTATTTTAATGCTAAAAATGGGCCTTAATTAATAACCACTAGGGGTTCGATTGCTCTCAAGAGTGATGTAAGTCATTTTTCTTCTTTGGTAGAAAAATGATCCTAACCAAACCTTAAAAAATAACATTTCATGGAAAACATTTTAAAAGAATTACTTCCGTTATACCAAAACCTCAATGTTCGCTTTCTCTTGGAATTGAGTTGTCTTGGCTAGGACTTTGTGCACGAGGGTGTGTATCTTAACGCTTGCGACTATTTAATGTGGCGTAGATGAAGAATGAATTAAGGCGTAAGGATAGAAAATGACATACCAGTTGCTTTCTCTGTCAACTTGATCAGATTCTATGCTTTTATCAATAATTCGATTATTACCCTTAGCAGTCCTGTGACGGGATAGAGATATTCATATCTGGTTGTGAATCACTCTCCAGAGTAGAAGTGGAAGTATGATTATGTACACAAGGTACCTCTCGCTTTCATCTTTGATCATAAAATATGTGTATATGCTATGACCCACAGATGGTGCCAAAACCAAGTACTTCATCCACACAAATCAATATTGTAAAAAGGTCAGCAGATTCATGATTAAAAAAAACCACAAAAAGGAGAAAAAAAAAATTCCTGATGCAGAATCGTTACGTTATTGACAAAGAAATAAGAGGGAAGAAATTGAAGAATTGTTGCATGAAGCTTAATAGTTACGTTTACCTTTTATATTTTAAAGAAAAAGGTAATGAGTTGCCAATACAATGAGAGAATTCCAAAAGACCGCAATTATTCTGTAGAATTTTTCAAAACGCTAACTACGTACTTTTATTAGTATAAGAAAGCATGTTTTCCTGGAACTTGTCACATTTATTAAATCTGTAGGGAAAAAAGGTCAAAAGAATTCCTTTCTCTCTTTAGTTTCTCTTTTGGCCAACCATCTACATCTCCCTAGCTCCATATTAGTACCATTTTTCCAAAGAAAGAAGGAAATGAAGAGGAAAAATGAAACAAAGACATACATTGGACTGTAAGAACTCAGCGCGATATATACCGTAGAAGAAAGAAGATAAGCAAATTGTTAAGATACATTAAGAAAGCCACATGCTTACGAATATACTTGAAAAACATAGAGTATGACGTATTGACGGCAAAAGGATAACGGGAAAAAATAGTTGGGGAATTCAAGAAAGATTACCTTGAAGTTTCCAAGAAATGTCCATGGCCAATCAGTGAGAATGCCAGGTTTAGAAGCCATGCTTTTGTACAGCTTCTTCCTTGCAAAATAAAGTGCTTGTAGTTTTGGCCACCTTAGATTGTTCTTCCTCTATATAAGCTTCTCTCCTTATATAGAACTGCATTGTAGAGGCATAGTATTTAATATCCGTTCAATTAATGACCTTCACCAATAAGCACATGTATGATATGTAACCAGACGAGTTCATACGACACTTCGCTAAAAAGATTAAGTACTATATTATACATAATTTGTGTATATATATTATATATTAAAAATGGAGTACTTAATTATTTTTCTCCTTGACTTGCAAAAGAAATTTACTTATTACAGACCCCAACTTCACAAAAATGGAACTAGCTAGACCCATTACACTATCACGTGACAAGCGCGTGCTTAGCAAAAAAAAAAAATACTACTCCCTCCGTTTTGAACCTATTTCCTTTTTGATCCGTTCTAAAAAGAATGACCTTTTTTTAAATTTGGAAACAATTTAGGTTAAACTTACAATTCTACCCTTAATGAGAAGCTTTTATAACCACACAAATATTCTGGGCCCCTTTTTGACTTGTTTAGGACCACAAATTCCAAAAGTCTTTATTTTTTCTTAAACTCCGTGACAATCAAACATGTTCACATAAATTGAAACGAAGGAAGTATTGAAGTGTGTGAAAGTATTAAAAAATAGTACTAACCATTTTCATATTTTGTAGCACTAATGTCCGTACGAGTAGTACCTAATATACAACTATTCGTCCCAAAAAGATCTGTAGCAAGAACAGTTCAGGATGAATTCGAAGAAGTCAATAATTAAGGAGTAGAAGCCTAGAAGGCCTTGATTGTAACTTGCTGAGATGCATAGAATCTACGTTTTGCTTTTGTAATTTTGTACGTAGTTCCATCAATTCATTTCCAAAAGCGTTTCTGCTGTATGTGTATGTAAAGTTTATTCGATAAATTAAAGTTTTTTTTTAATCACTGATTATTGATGTTTCGCTTAAAGTGTATATATATATATATATATGCATATCGCCTCATGCTTTACTTTTGTTTCGTGGATTTAGGATGTAAAATATGTTAACTTATATTAATTTGAGTTGTTTTTATGTGTAGGAATGATCCGAGAGCAATTGGGGGCAAAAGGTGTGAGATTAGAGCCGAAACAGACGAAAAAATGCAAAATGGCATTTTCAGCGCCACAGGCAGCGACCCATGCTACCTATGGCGCCAGAGGCAGTATACTCTAAATTGCCAGCGTCAGGGACAGCGCTTAGCGCTGGGCTGGGCTCTGGTTGCGTGAAGTTTGTCCAATTTTGCCCGGGACAAGGTTATTTCGGACCTAGACCTACCCAACACGTATAAAAGCAATACTAAGCTTATTTTTAAAGGAGAGACGCCACTTTGAAGGAAGAATACACACGAGAAACATCCGGGAGCGAAGAGATCTCAGTTTTCTTCATATTTTCTTAGTATTTTCAATTATCCAACACTTATGAAATTGTTTGCTATTATCATGAGTGGCTAAAACCCATATTTCTGAGGTTGTGATTTAACCATGAATATTGTTGTTTAACGTTGACTTACCCTTGATTAAAATTCACTAATATATGGTTGTTTCTTCAATTCTTTGATCAATTGCTTAATTGTCTGGCCAGCAGTTAGTTTCTATTTACTATCTATGCTATGCTTGGGAAAATCATATTTAGATTAGAGAAGAATTAAGAGAGCACTATCTTAACTCTTAGGGGGGTGGATTTGTGGTTAGGATAGGAATATACCTAGTCACCGTGCTTAATTAAATATCATAATCTTAACGTTCTTGATAGATTGATTCCATAGGAATATAGTCGTTAATCTATTTTGAATATGTCATGACCCTGGTTGTCCCTCCGTGAACCGTCGTGATGGCACCTAGTATCTACGACTAGGTAAGCCTAACATTGCGGAAAAACGGAGCGAAAACATAAAAGTTATCAAGTAATAAGTAAATTTAAATAAGGATTGCGATACCGCTCGGCATATACAATAATCATTTCTGAACAGTACATAAACTCTCCCAAAACCCGGAATGTCATAAGTCACAAGCTAAAGAAAGACACACTACTTCCATACTCCAGAGTCTAATACAAGAAGAAAATACAAGAAGTCTTTAACTTGAGGAAGAGTATATAGGGACTCCTAGGTCTGCAGAAGCGGCAGATATACCTCGAAGTCTCTACAGTCGTCTTGCCTTACTAGTAATGCAACTGATGTGAGGTACCTAGATCTGCACACGAAAAATATATGCAAGAAAGGGCATGAGTACATCATAGCGGTACCCAGTAAGTGCCAAGCCTAACCTCGGTTGAATAGTGACTGTTTAACCCAAAAAATAGTTTTCAAGGTCAAAGCAATAATTTTATATGATGGGCCACAAGCAACTGATTCAATCCGAAAAATATAAAATATCGTTAATACAATGTGATAGAGAAGTGAAAAATAAATTCAATGACAGATAATATAATAAAAATAAAGCAGAGAAGAAAGAATTCTTATTGAATGATCCTTGATAGGATAATGAGCCAAACAGAGCTTGAAGGACTGAACTATGGCTAACTTGGGAGCAAGATGCTATGAATTATAATGTATAAAATTGTAGAGAATAAAATTAGATTCCCCTGATGGTGGTAAAAGTATGTCTATTTATAGGGCTAAATCTAAGTAACTAGTCTCCTTGAATTATGGGTCCA